TATATATATATATATATATATGTAAAATAGAATAAATAAAATTGATATTTTTGATCATCAAATAGGATGTCTTAATATTAATATTTTAAATTCAAGGAACACAGATTTATTATAAAGGATTTTTAAAAACTAAAATAAACTCTTATTAAAAATAATTATACAATATGATATATTGACAGTTTGTATTAAGTGGCAGTTTTCTAAAATATGTACTCCACAATACATAACTACACAATATTTCATACATGAACAATATTACAATCATTGAATTATTTTACAAGTCAATTGAAAATAAGTATGTACAACATTTGATCACTCGTCAGAATATCAGCTAAGCTGCGCATCACTATCCTTTACTTCGATTGGACTGAGAATGGTGAGCACGTATTGCAGAACCTTGACTAATTCCTGCTCCTGCTTACTGGCATCGATACTCGACAACGTAAATCTGCCGAGGGCCTCCCGAATGCTCTGAGAGAACCCGGCGCTTCGCGCGATAAGTTTTCCCTTTTGGTTATTGCTGATGAGAGACCACAGCATGGATCCAGCTAGACTGATCTCGCATGGCGATCCATTCTTAAAAACGTCGTGCAGCAGATTTATGAAATCCACTGAAAAGTAGCAAGCGTTTAGTACGATTAGTAATAGAAATCGATTATCGATCTTTCCTAAGCTTGTATTTGTTTATTTATTACCTGAACTAAGAAGCCGAGGTCGGTTTGCTACATTGAACGCCAAATTGCGTAATATCGATATTGCGAGAACTTTGTTCACTGTCGGAGGACATTTTGCTAGGTGCATTAGGACGTCCAGAGCATCAGTGGCCTAAAATCGTTGCTGTACAATTATCAAATAAAATAACATACTTTCTCTGTATTTTACCTTTGGCACGCATAACTGTCCTTCCTCGTAATAAGTAAAATCTATTAGAAACTCTAGGCAATACATCTCCACTAATGGCCATGGTTTCGTTCTTTTGGTAATAGTGGGATGTATCTTGGTAAAAAGCTGAAGAAGATTACTCTGCGGAGCGAACAATTGATTCGTAGTTAATTAATCAGCTCGGAAAAACATGCTTGTACTCTCGTTGCTTCGATCATTCTACGAGCGTGTGACCTAATTACTTTAATAATTACCTTTGAAATGCAGACTCTGCACTCGTGAACGTGCACCGCGTTTCGCAGGATGTGGAAGGCGAAGTGCATCTTGTGATTATCGAAAATCTGACCGGCTCTTTCGATTTCCTTGCACGTTACTTGTGTAACCACGTGTATCAGCGCGAGCGTATTTGGCGTTTTCCTCAAGCTACTTCCCGGTAATATCGTCGTCAATGTCAAGGACTGCGCGGCTGAAAGACGTAAAAATTAAAATGCGATTGATTTAAAAAAATATTGTACACAGAGAAATCGTTTGTCCTTATCAATGCGGTTAATAATAACCAAATGATATGTTCTTGAATGTCATCTTACCAACGTTACATTTCGTTGTGAACGTCGCCAGTAATTTTAACGCGGACGTTGACACTGTTTTATTTAAAGCGATCCAAGCCCACAACTTGTGCACCACGTCCGCCAAGCCCTCCTTCGTCAGGGTTTCCTTAACACACGCGTCTCCGCACATAAAGTTCATCAGGAGTATGAAGATACAGTTCACGTCGTGCAACAGAGGATGAGTCTGCGCAAAGACAAGAAAAGAAAGTGTTTTTATAAATTCGTAATATTTTCGTATAGAAATTGCGAATCGAAATTTCACATGTGTTGGTCTTTCCTTACCTTCTTTTCCGCTTGCTTCTTATACAGCTCGAACGGTTGAAGATTCAACTTGACGTACAATTCTTTTAGGATCATCAACGCGGTCTCAGGAAGATTGCCCCGTAGCGCCGTTCGTTTCGCCTTCTTCGATACGCACAGTAGATTCGTAAGGGCACCCACAATGAGATCTTTGTCCTCCGACTGTTTGCTGCTCTTTTTGGATTTTGCGTAGCTGTGAGCGATAAAAAGATGCAGCAACAGTTCGCATAATTCGCCGCCTACGGTAATTTGTCCTCGATCCAATAGCCTGCCGTCTTTCGGATGCAAATCGATCTCGCTCTCGTTCGACTTTCTGGAATGCGCGTTCGCGTCTCTTATTGACAATTTATTGACGCTCGATATGACATCTCGCAGAGCATCATCCTTGCTTTCGATCGAGACACATGCCACATTAGTGTCGAGCACGGTTTGCAATAAAGAGGTGCCGCTTCTTCCCAGGAAATCTTTCTGAATCTCGTGGGACAGTAGGAAAGCTAAGAAGCTAATGGCACTCATTCGCAGATCCGTCGCGGAGTCCTTTATCGCGTAACAAATGGAAACCACGACCGTTTCGGGCCCGCATAGGTCTAACGCGCTCTGAATGGCCTCGAAGTGTTGGTCCTCCGTTAACGAGAGCATAGCCACGAAATTGTAGATCTCCGTCCAGAGTCTGTTGCGTAGATATATCAGACGCGGTTCAGTAGACTCTAAGAAAATTTAATGCACGAATTAGGGATATCGTTTAAAAATTCGAGTATACATTTGTGTCGAACAAACGTTAAAATACATACGGTATAAATCGATATTTAAGTAGCAAAACACAGTATAGAGCGAATCCGGGGAGAAAAGTACGACGGCTGCGTACTCGTTGCTATACGTGATGCAATTTGTTAAAACTGTGCAGATGCTGATATACATCTCCAGTGTGTCAGAATAATGACTCAAACTCTTCCTGCTTCTAGTATCCTTCGGAATCTCATTCAGACACCTTAATGACAAAAGATCAAATGAGACGAGGTATTAAAAAAAAAATTCGATAATTTGGTGTTATAAATCTTCTAATTCTACATACGTACCCAAATAAATATTTATCGATGGAATATTCGTAGACTTGCCGCACCACCTCGTGTTGTCCGATGAATATTAAGTTGTTCAATAAGTTACAAGCAGCCGTGATAAGCGAAGGCGTTGCTATTGATTGTATAGAATTGTCCACATCCGTTATTTCCGAAACTCTGCCGGAAACTGTAAGAGAAGCAGAGAAGAATTAAATATAAATATAATTGTACAAAACAGATTTTTGAAGCATACAGTCAAATAATACACTTACATAGTTGTAATTCATCCTGACAATTGTATAAGTGCGATACGGTGCGCGGTACCAATGAAACGCAACTAGATTGCAAACTTTGCACAGTGACTGCTTTGCCGTCGTTCCCTTGACATTCTGACTGTTCCGCATCTAAAGTGGTCAACGTATAGATATCGGAACACAGAACGCTGATTTCGTGATAGATATTGCCTTGTTCGACTTGCATCAAGATAGCTTGTGGTTGTAAAAAATCATCCTGGACAAAAAGATTATGTTTCTAAATTACATGGCTTAACTGCGTTTTAGAAATTTAGAAAATATGAGTATGTTTTATATAACATCAATAATACAAATATGATCTACATAATATTATTTAAGATAGAGATTTTTAATTTTGACGCCCTCTCAATGTGTTTTCGGCTTATAATGATATATCGTACTTACGCATTGAAAAGTCATCGAGTTGCAATTCTTGAGCATGTTGCAAAATGCGATACACGCTTGCTCTCTCACTAAACAAGCCTCATCCCTGCTTGTGATGCACTGAAGCAACGTGTGACACAAGTCGCTCGGTGCCATGGCGATTGCGTTGAAGAGCTGCGACGCAGTGTGCACTGTGTTCATCAGACCTGCCAATAATTGTAAAGCCGAAGCGCGAACCAAAGGATCTCTGTTTTGCCACAGCATGGGTAGCCAATTTAACGAGCGGCCTTCTTCGCACCAAAACACTATCCACGACTGAAATAATAAGACAGTCGTATTACTTGTTGCAATTAATAATTAACGCGAAATACAAGTTGATGGAAACGACTCATTAATTCGCCATTAATAAATAATAATTCATATTACATCTTTTCGCTTGAATTGAAAATACTCACATTTTTATTAAAATTGACTTGCATTTGATGCAACAAGTGATTAAGACATATTATCGAGTTTCTTGTTATTGATAATCCCATAAAACTGACAGTACCAGCGCCATGAAAGGACACGATCGGCTCGATGAGCGTGTTGCAAAGAGACAATAATAGATTCTTATGATTTCTCCATTCGCACTGCCCGATCAGATACGTCAAACACGTTAGCAACGAATCGAGATATGCTGTAAAAGAAAAAAAGAAAGGATATTTATAATATTAAATTTTGCGAAATCGATATTCTAAAAGAAAGATCTGCATTATTAAAATTTAGATGTAATATAACCAACGAATATTAATACCAAGATTGTAGAAATGTTGCTGATCTCCGAAACATAATGTTGAAACAACGAACTCTACGAATCGGATCCAGGTGTTCTTCGGTTCGTCGTTAGATTTCTGCATTTTTTCAATCGCTGAACACGTGCGTACTAATTTGAGTAAAGATTGATGTACATTCTGATTGTCAACTTCTAAGTTCTTAAATAAATCCGCCAGCGACCTCGTCATGTTTTTCATAATTCTACTGATCCACGAACCTTTTCCTGAGAATTAGAAAAGAATTATTTTAATATAATTTGTATTCAGAAAAAAATGAGGCTATTTCTCTCGATATTCATCGTCTAAGTGACCTTACCTTTCTTCGCGACATTTAAATACAATTGTAGAAAAATGAGAACATCTACAAATAAGTCGCAGTCCTCTTTACTTGTGGGATGAGATAATAAAAATCGCTCGAACGTTTGTTCCCATGGCAGCGACTCGATGTCTCTCTCTTCATTATGTTGAAGTACTTTGTAAAATTTTAAATACCTGAGAAGTAAATAATTGTAGTGGTTAATTTTCTGTAATATACCTTTGTAACAAATAGTTGCAATAAAAGTTATTAGATTACTAATAAATTAACAATAGCTTACATTGTGAGGTAATCTAGCGCGCATATAACGCTATAGTGCATGGTAGAATTTTGAATATTATAGAGTTGATGTTGACAACAATACTGAGGAAAGCTGCATCGTAAAGAAAGAAGATCCTTTTCAAGAATCATCAATTTCTGTGCAATTTCGGAGTCATTTAAGTCACCCAAGCATTTCCATAACACGTTCACGCCGCCGTTCCATTCCCAGGCCCAATACTGTCTAAGGAAAGTTAAGACTACTGGATTGCTGCCATGAAGTACTGCAAATTATAAAATAAGAGATTATTAATTTTTTGTTAATTTTATAACTCGAAATCACACAAGATCAATATTATGATCTCAGTGGAAATTTTATTTTATGAATACAATTACTTACATGAGACATCAGATCGCCTATGCATGCTTGTCTTCCAATGAGATTTGCACACAAACGGTAGTTTCATATTTGACACAACAATGTACGGCAACGAGATATGTGACGCAATATTGTTTTCCACATCTTTTTCGTTAACTCTTATGATATATTCACCATAAAGTAGTAAACACAATAGTTGCGCACCATCGGATTTTACACACTCATTGTTTGGAAACAAAAAGAGACCTAAAAGATTAAATTTTATATCAAAATATCATTGGAATTACTAGGTATATCTTTGAATTAAATTTTAGATAATTTAAAAATCATGATAAAATATACATACTTCTTACGATATTAAAAAAAACATCAATGTTGAGAGATAACTCGTGTCGTATAGTACATTCAAAAAATGCGAGTAGTTTTAATATGCCGATTATCGGTATCACAGAATCTGGATAATTTACATAATCCTTCTCTATCTAAAAATATTAAAAGATATAAAACATTCAATATATTTAAATTAGATAAGAAGTCTGTAATATCTTTTTTTTATCAAGTATAACAACTTACCAGGGCTTTATTGAAAATATCCAAAATCAAAGGCAGACCACCTTGATTAATGAACAATTTGTGCAAGGAAGTGTCGGAAAGCATCACGCTAATTTGTACTAATGCAGATTTCCGAATTTTCGGATCGACGTTTGGTTCGTTCAACATTTCCAATACCGATAACATATTGCTCCTCTGAGAACAAAATATTTTTGTGAATTATGTCCGAAATCGTATATATTAATTATATGTACATTTTTAAAAGAGCATTTTAATTTTAATTTAAAAAATTTTAAAAAGTAGAACGATTCTCTGTCAAATAACTAAGATTGTAAGAGATTTTCAAATATTCTGAATGCAAATATGTAACCTGATAATTGCCTTCTGATCGCTTAACGAAGTTTTTACGCTCAAATATGCAGAGTGAACTAAGAGGCAAGCCGTGCAAAGACGACAAGCGTGGCAATTTCTGAACAGAATCCTTTTCCTTTCCAAGGAGCCAGATTAATCGACACAACGCTTCTTCCCGAATATCGTTGTCTGGTGAATAGAGAAATCTTAAATTGCCTTTTAACATCTGAAATTGAGTTATAAAGCACGTAAAACAAAAGAAAACCCACGAAAAGATATTTTCGATTAAGTTAAACTACCTCAAGAAAAGGCAACTGTATATTATTAGAAATGTCAGGATCAAATATTTTAGTTACACACTGCCCTAAGGGTGTGTGGGTATCAGCGTGGCACTGTAAAAGGTACAATACAGGAACGAGAGCTTCCAGAGCTTTCAACCATCCAGTTTCGCCCATTTGTATTTTTCCTTTCAGTATAAACACCAGCATGTCTCTCGACATCTCGTTTATCTGTACACATGAAACCAAAATTAGATTAAATTGCGAAATCAAGAATCGCGCTGCAGTAATTTTGCAATAGTGAATATTTGTCCGACACAAAACGTCTAATTAAAAAAATTCTTTGTTACCCTGCTGTCCTCGCTGGTTGCGCCATGAGAAATAATTTCCGTCAAGACATTCGGCTCGAGTAGGAACGTCAAACTTTCCCACGGTAGTTTATTATACTCTACTCCCAGAACACTCTTGATCAGAGCGTGGCATTCGACATATGTGGTGTACCGAACGTCTACGTCTGCATTCGCTAGTAAATTCAATATCAGCTTCGTTGCCAGCGCGCGGTCCTCGTCACTTAAAGAATACTTCGGGATGTCTTGTAAAAATTTTACAGCCGTCTTAACGACCGTTAAATTCTTGTGATACGACAGACTCAATTTGGACGCGTGTAACATTCTTAGCGTTTCCGAGGGCGATTGCTCCGATGAGTTTTTCAATATACAGATAGCCGACTGCATGGATTTCGCGACGGTTCTAGTTTCGTCGAATAATTTTGTCAATGCTACCTGATCAGCATCTTGAAATGTCTACAAACGAGAAGGATTGTATTAGCGGTGGTCGACCGGCGACGGAATAATCGAATGAAATAAAAAAAAAAAAAGGGAATTGAATTACTTACGCGAGCGTATTCCAAGAGTATGGAATGCAACGCCGGATACAGCAGATATATCGGTGGATCCATCACGGCATTTGTTATTGATGCCTTCAAAGCGTTCGGTATAACAGCATCCGCCAGCTCTAATGGCACGATACTGCTCAACAATCTCATGATAATGGTAGTAAGGTACAAGTACGTTATCCTCAAATGATCTACATTACTGCAGCTCCCAAAGTACTCCATCACCTCCCCCATTAAACTGAATAGCGCTTTCAAATCATCGTTTATCTTCAATGCCGTACCGTCGTTGCAGAGCCAGATATTCGGCATCACGCAAATTGTTAACAGTTGCACCAACTCATGCGTCAGATCTGTGACGTATTTGATGTTTCGTAGAGGAAATATGGAATTGATAGGAATGCTCAACTGGGTGAGAACGTGTTTCAGAGATTCTATACAATAAGCCGGCAGAAGCATCTGCTGCAACTGCAAGACAGAATCGTCGACGTTTTCACTGATACTTTGACTTCTGTCGCTAGTCCCCTAAAAAAAAAATAAAAAAAAAACAGAGCTCAGAATACGAAGAGAGCTTAAGAATAATAAACTTGTCAAGAAATCAAAATCAAAATCTACTCACTGCCGATTGATATGCTTGATAGTTCGCTTCAGGTACGCCGTTATCTGGACCATCTCCACCTTCCGAGGATGTGTAAACGTTGTTGTCTAACTTGCCGCCCAATAGCTATGTAAAAAAATAACGTAAACAAAGAAATAGTCGAGAAGTCATTATATGATTGAATATAAAAACATGATATTATATAGTTTCTTGTATCAAGCGAATAAAATATTAAACGTTACCTTTTGTTTTTTATTCGCCACACACGGTTCGCAGTAATAATAAATGCGGAACCTTAGAGAACGAGTTAGTTTACGTAAGGTTTTTAACACGGTTGGAACTATACACGCGACATTAGTTTCTGACATGTTAACGCTCGATTTAAGAAGACCATGAAGTATCTGTAACATTTTAGATACATGTGTTTTATTAATTTATCATTCGAACGTATAATTCGTTAGAAGAAGATACTTACCGTAATTATTGCGGGCCGCTGAAGGAAAACTTCTGCTGGAAAATCTTGCATCATAACGTTCGTTATAAACTGACATGTGTGTAATATATGATTGATATCGACAGTATTATTAAGAGCCTCTTCAACTGCTGTAAGTACGCCTCTGTCCGACGTAACCAATGGCTGCCATGGCATTACTAGCCATTTAATACCACCCTCTACCGTTTTAGAAACTCGTGTGCCATTCTCGCGCTCCAACGTTATATCAAATGGCACAGTACTATAAACAATTACAAACACATGTATCTCTATATATCTTGAATAAATATATAAAATCTATATAGTATGTATTCAAGAAGAGAGAAGTAAAAATATTTTTCTCACAACTTTTTTTTAGAAATTCAATCATTACTGATTTTTCTAAAGCATATTCAATTTTGTGTTAATTCTTACTTGTCTAAGATAGACGGAAGATTTAAAATCTCATTCAAGTCATCATAGTCTTCCCTTTCATAGTCCTTATTCCTGTATCTAATGTGATCTTGTGTTTGTATTCTATGTCTATCAAATTCTGAACATGTTGTGGTAATATCCTGCAATGTGATTATAATCGTCTTATTAACATAATATATATAAATACTAGTGCACAATTATTATCACGTTTGAATACATATTTAATACACTTACCCGACTCTTTTCTAAATGCAGAACAGCTTGTTCAATTTTATCTAATTTTGCGTACCATTCAGGGGATAGATTTCTCCTTAATTCATAAAGCTCATTTTGGAACTTTAATTTGCCAAATGCATTCAAGTAATTCCTTGCATCTGCCTGGAAGCAAAAAGATCAAACATTAATTAAAATACAGTAAATTACGTATCACAAATTAAAAAATATTTTACAGAAATGTAAGGTATTAATTTCAAAGTAGATTTTCAAAAATATTACATTTTAAGTTTAATTAACAGGACATCATAAAAGAAGTATTGGAGTTGCGGATCTTGAAATTTATCAGTAATCATCAGTAAGAGAGTCCAAGTACCTTTAGCAGTCGCAATAACAAATTCAGTACTTTCTCCGGCTGTGGCACAGTCTCGAACGAGAACCAATTGAACAGTTTTTGGATTATCTCCTTTTTGACAGCGTCGCAATCACACGCGAAACCTAAATCATACTTGGAAATAATATTATCCAAAGCTCGCAGACGTATCTCGTCGATAGTGTGGCCTGAAAAGGAAATGTCAGAGAGAAATGGAAAAGACGCAATAGATACGCCTTCGCGGCACATCTTCTAAACAACCGATTAATAATATCTCCTCTCATTTCTCACCCAATTTTTTAACGTGTACGGCAGTTATTCCGGCGGTGCCCAGCATCGTGAAAATAATCTGTCAGATCAGTCATAGGTTAATCCTGTCACACGGGCTTTGAAAATTTAACCGCCAAATATTCAGCGGCATCGTATTTCAGAAGGAGACGACAGATGAGTCGGGGCGCTGATGAGCGACGGCCGCTCGCGACACTACTTGCAATGCAGCGTCGCTGTTGACAACAGCGGCGACCTGCGTTACCGGGAGTTTCACCAAACAAAAAAAAAGTTGCAGAAGTCATCGTCAGATGGCGCTACGTGTATCGTTCGCTGAATTTTTACTGCCCGACAACAAAAACACGCGCACATAACATCGCCAACATCGGTGGCCATGTTCCCCATAGAGACTTTAACGGGCGCATGCTCGGCCGTTCGCGGACCACGTTCAATCGAATTTCGTGCGGCACGGCGGCGATTACGCGACGTATCATTACCCGCGGGAGTACGGAAATTCGCTTTAATCGGTGGATAAAATCTCCAAATAAATATCTAATGGCATTCGTTAACGCCGCGCCGCGAAGATTGGGAGAGACAGGGGAACAGGATAATGATTCATGCGATTTTAAGGCACTTCAATCTAATTCCGATTAATTTAATGGATAACAAGCTTATTATGTTGCTTATCAAGCAATATACCTGTACTATTTTGTTGACATAGATTGCATTTTTTGTTGTTAAAAAATAAGAATAGAAATAATTCTGCTTTAAGCAAAATTCCGTCGACCGAATTAATTTGTCGATTAATTTGTCAGATAATACTTGTTTTTCTGTTCATGTAGAAGAATTAGTCATTTATTATTGTTTGATACATTAAAAAAAAAAAAGAAAAATGAGAAATCGTATAGAATAAAACGTTTTGCTTTAAGCATTACTGTCGGCAGAATTAATCGGCAATTAATTAATCAAATAATTTCTGTGCTGCTCCGTTAACGTAGACAGTATTATTGGTTTTTTTATCATTTAACATATAGAAAAAAAGAATTAAATTATGAGGAATATAAGAGAACAAGATTAAATTACAGAGACGACAAATTGTACAGTTCGAAATTTTGCTTTAAGCGATTCTCTCGGTTGACTTAATTGTCGATTAACTTAATCGGAGTTTGTCAAAGTTGCCCTTAGGTGTGCACAGACATAGCAATTGACGACACAACAAGGATCTTTCACAGGTCCGTTTAATCATTTTACGAAATTACAAGGATAATTCGAAGCACATGCTCTCCGCTAACGAGGTACGTGTAGGTATTACAATCGGTTTAAATTTTACGACACTGAATTACATAATTATGTACACATTATTTAACTGCATATAAACATACAAAAGGTTTAAAATTAATCCATCGAGTCGTTGGTGAAACCTCCGTAAATCCCGTCTTCCCACAGCGGCACGACCGACCCTCCTTCCGCGTGTCGTGTACGGGCTCGACAATCCTTCGATACGCCGGCTGAAGCTCGAAGCTTTTTGTCGCGGTTCAAGGAAAGAAAAAAAAAAAGAGCGCGATTCGTCATCCCGTAAGACTTAAAACGTGGATAATCCCGTAATTTTGCGACATCAAACTGTCTTGCCGTAATCTCGATATCTCGATACGCGATCGTGTTAAAAATAACTTAAAAATTTCTTTTAGCAAAGTACAAGTCCAGAGGGTCTAATCTCTCGTCCGAGATCGCGTCGGATCCTCCTCGTCTCTTCGCGGAGTGATAAAAACCGAGATCGGAACGGACCGATGAGAAACGAAAGCGGAGACTCGCTCCGTTAATCACGCGGAAAGCGAACGTCGATATATAGAGAGACGCGTACGACGCATCGCTTACGGGATGACCGATATACGCGCGAGCGACGGTTAAAGGTACGCGCCGATGCAGTTCGCGGGGGTGCGCTCTCCTCTTAAGCTAATAATAATAACTCATTCAAGCGAAACGGTGGCGCGTTACGCCCGCAAATGGCGCAAATTCGGCCCGCTACCGCCGCCGCCGCCGCCGCCGCCGCCGCCGTCGCTCGGCCGTTTCGCGAGCGTTGCCGTAAAAACGTGATTTACGACCACGCTCTCCGTGCCGGCACGGCGGCGCGGAGGGGCGCCGGAAATGAGCCATCAATGAGAGACGATCGCGCGTCGGAGCACGCCGCGCGCACGCTTCTCACGCAATTACGTATAGTTATATGTAATGCACGTAACTGCGCGCGCGAAACGTACACCGTACAGCCGTGGGCGTTTATGCCGTATCTTTTTATTGCGTGAAATTGTGAGAGAGAGCGCGCGCGCGGGTCTCTCCTCTATTGCTGCAATGACCGAGACAATGCGCGTGATCGTCTCTCCGACAAAAGCGCTGCGTCCTTCTTTTCAATATATATATATTTTTAGTGATGCTAGAAGTTCGCATCATTATATCAGAAATCGATTACATCTTTTTCTGACGCGACGTACACGTATCTCGTATGTTTGTTCTCTCACTCTCGATCCGACAGAGCTCTCTTTTCTGCTTGTTCTCATCTTTCGAATAATCCTCGTAGCGAGAGGGTTTTTTTTTCTTTCGCGCAGAAATCCCTTCTACGATACGCCGAAGATACGTGTGTCAATTAAAGCGCGCCATTCGCGAGAGCTCGATCGCAAGTCGATTCTTCTTCAACGCGTGAGAATTATTGCTCATTGTTACTCATTATATGACGTTGGTCGCGCGACAAACGCAAATCGTATATTACTTCGTTGAGTTCCGTTAGTCCGTTACTTTTAGAGGTGCTGTCCAGTTGAAGAGAAAACTTCATTGGGGCGTTTCCCCATAGCTTGTATAGTATTATTAAAAAACTGTCCCATTTCTCATTTTTAAACAAGATTCTCTTTGCAACAAGAAAAAAGATAATTATCAATGCAAGAATTTAAAATCTTAACATAAATCTGGTATTACGTATCTTTTAGTTCTTTTTTATATTCCCTTATACAAATTAAAATACGAGTCCCATATTTAATAAAACTTCGATGAAATATAATTAATAAGCTATTATAAAAAATATATCTATTACATATAAATGTAATAAGTAAATAATTTAAATGACATTAAAAGAAAAAAAATTCTCTTTTAATAATCGTGCTTGTCGCTGGACGTATTATACGCTAGAAGTAACAGGCTAGCTATTAACTCACATTGGTCGAGGAAATGCTATGAGTTTCGTTCCGACGTTTTAATAACGTCTGTCTGATTTTTACAAGAGTGTCTATAGAAACGCGATAGAAGCGTGTATGCATACATGGTTAAGCTACGAGCTCTTTGATCCCTTTAACCCCTTCCCAACGACAACAAATACTGCGACTCTCGGTACGATAAAACTCTTTTATTGAGATCTCAGATATAAAAAGGAATGTAAAGTTATAAATTATTTAAATCACAATAATTTGTCTAGTTAAAACTATGCTATCCTACATGAAGTCGTAACGAGATTATATAAATATCCTATATAATATAAAATGCATTCACTATCAAATACGTAACGTACACAAATTTTTATCACATAATTTCTGTCGACGAGAAATTCTGCGACCTAATTATATATACTTAATAGATCTATATACTTTTAAAGTTTATTTTACGTGAGTTTAGTAATTGTGTCACTCACGATAAATTTACATTTAGTTTTATTTGAGCTACCGATCTGAAAGATATTTTTCTTTTTGTGTACCGAGAGTCCGGTAAAAGTTTCGTCTTTTACGAAGCCACTTAGTTGATGTATAACGCATCTTTTAATCAGGCATGGTATTCGCAAAATTTGCCAGTTGATCGCAATGTCGAGCAGAAGGGGTTAATTCGTCGGCTGCATCGCAGAATCTCGGCCCCGAGTATTCGAGATAATCCAATTTTACGCGACGCGATATTCCTAATTTAATTATGACAAGCTATTCTTCGCTTCTATATTTTTTTCTGAAATTAATTACCTGTCTCGACAAAAGAAGATTTCCAATAAACGCGTTTCAATGTACGTATTTGTCGGATATAATTTCGTGCCAGAGGCTGTATAGCTCAGCCTCGCCTTCTTTATTTATAAATTTTCCCGTGTCTATACTACCTCACGATTAATTCCCTCGTGGAATTTTACATCGGTTCCGTATCCTTTCGTTATACCATTGCGTCGTATCATCTGCTGAGCAGCTGCACGGCGACGAATAAGATCTCGACACTCGATGTAACGGGGCGAGACGTCGCGACGCCATTCGATATATACGAGAAGCGAAGTTGGTGTCTCACGATCCCATAGATAAACAACGGTCAGAATCGATCTAATAACAGCTCGTATATGCAGTTAAACAATCGGACCAAGTACAACGTATTAGGGAATTAATTAATTAGATACGCCGGGTGTCTAATGGAGTGCCCGTTTAAAAGGTACGAGAGAGAGAGAGAGAGAGAGAGAGAGAGAGAGAGAGAGAGAGAGAGAGTGAGAAGCGACACGAGAATTCGTTTATTCCTTAAAAATTTCTATTTCAAGGAAAGAGGAAAGAGGAAAGAGAAAAATGGTAAGGGTAATCATGACGGGAAACACATACACGGTATACGCTATTACAAAAAAATAATAAATATTGTTAAACGTTAATTACAAATCGGCCCGAGCGGCAACGACTCTGCAAGACTCGGCGCCGCTTCGTGCTTCGGTTTTAACAATTTATCGTAGACATCGATAACGATAATTTTTTTTTTTTGTTAAAAGTGTCACATGTGCGCGTGTGGGTGTATGCGTGAACGTGAGTGCGCGCGCGCGCGCGCGTGCGGCGTGTGTGTCTCTGAATACGTGGAGTGTTTCGTGTCACTTTCGATCTAGAGCAAAGTCGACGAGAGGAAGAGTTGCTTTCTGACATTTAATCGAAAAAATTCTTTTTATTAATCTTTCGGCGTCAAATTAATCGCGCGTTAATAAATACGTGCAGTTTGTCGATAGATTTCAATGTATAACAACAAGTCGTTATAAAAATTTAATTCGTGGAAGCGCAGTTGTACTTAATTGATGTCCGGCTTAGGATACTCATTAGCGTTAAGATTCATTTAAAATTTTTGATTTCAAAATCGGCAAATCACGCACGTGAAATTATTTTACGCAGCGAAAGAAAAGTAACGTCATAGATTGTTC